GGAGCAATCTGTAGAGCTGGAAGCTGAGAACTGGCGACTTTGTAGTACAACTTTAGCACGCGGAGTATCTGGCAAGCTGGACGATGAGAACTGGCGACATTGTAGTACAACTTCAGCACGCGGAGCAATCTATGCAGCTAGAAGCTGAGGACTGGCGACTTCGTAGTACAACTAGAGTTGTACTGGCGAACAGTGTAGTACGCGGAGGAGTCATCTCTCGCTGCTCATTCATCTCTCGCTGCTGAGTCAGCTCTCGCTATAGCCATCTCTCGCGGCTGAGTCATCTCTCGCGACTGAGTCATCTCTCGCTGCTGAGTCATCTCTCACGGCGTGCACGTTCAGTTCATACTGATAGTATTTGGTTGCAGTTATGCAGGACAGGACATTCAACTGCTGGTCAAGACACCACTCGTCATACACCACTCAACATACACCACTCATCATTCATCACTTGTCATACACCCCTCATCATACAAGACTCATCATACATAGTCTCAGAGTTCAAGACAGATTTTACATTCAAATTCGGATTCCATTCAGTCCGATGTGTGATATGCAAGGTTTGCCGCCACTGAAGAATGCCACGGTGGGATGTGTGTGTCGATGTGGACCGCATCCTTGGCAAGTTGTGGTGGCCGGATGTGCGTCATCTCTCGCAGGGGGCACACACACCTTACACACGTGGAATCCCGTGGGTCAAAAGTCCGGAGCGCGTGCGTTTGACTGGAGGACGCGCATGTTGGAGAGAACGTGGACACTCCTATAGGTCAATTTCTTCTTATAGGAAACTTCCGCCGCCGGCTTGCCCGGGAACTACTTGTAAGCTGCTTGAGCACCATTCATTGCGATTCAGATCTGTATCAACATAGGGAGAAAACGTCCCAAACACCCTGTAAACAAAGGACATGGTGTTTAAAGTGTGGACATGGTGTTTAAAGTGTTGATTTCCCTTATTTCGTTTCTATAAAGGCTTCAAGCCTTTTGGTTGTGACTTGGTGCACGCAACCCAGATTGGTGCACCAAGCGCTTGTCCAAGGGTCGGGCTCTGGCCAAACGCTCGGCTTTGGTGCGCCTAGGGTTCAAAGCTTGACGTGCAACCATAGTGGGTTAAAGCTGGTGTACGAACAGACATTCCCAGTAAAATCTTGTAGTAACCATCCTAAAGACATCATAGAACTCATATTTTTTCTTAGGATTCCTATATCCTCTGTTTTGGTCACCTGGACTTTACTTGGATTGTGTTTGGGGTCCAACGACCACCTTGACCCACCGTCGCACAGCTAAGCACCCCGTCGCACGCTTTGGTGTTGCGCTGAGCATGTCTGCAGAGACTTGGTCTGGTAGACGCCCTGGTCACCAAGAACTGGAGGTCTCCCTTTAAGACCTCCAGTTGTTCATGGTTCATGGTCCAGTTCTTGGTTCATGGTTTTCTGGGCCTTTCATATTCTCCTCTTTGTGGTTGATGATCTTCTCAAGTACATTCATGGTCTTCTCATATCTCATATCGTTTGCTGAGTGCGAACCTTCATAAATCAAATACATTCAAATAAAGTCAATATCTTCACGAGGTGTCACAAGTGGCCTGTCAGTCCGCGCTCGTCCTCCTCATCTGAGTCACCTCAGAGACATGCTGACACTAGTACGGTAAAGAACTGGCAAGCATATCCAACTTGACCCGATTTTTGCCCTGCGCACGCAGCAACCTGCGCAGCAACATGGGGAGTATCTCCCATCACTTGAAAACCAGTAAACCAGTTTGCAGAGAAAGTCGTAAGTGGAGCCTAAATCTGTTCTACAAGAAGCTGTGAACTGCATCGCATCGTCCCAAACGGCATCGCTGGGAAGTGATGTTTGAGACATCCAGCACTGACTGAGGATCACGTCTCCGTCTAAGTAAGCACGGGCATTGGAGGATGCAGGGCATGAAAGTGGCCACTGACTGAGGATCCTGACTGCCGGAGCTGGAGGAAGAGCTCATCTCCTGGTGCAAAATGTGAGTTGCTGGTTGCATTCTAGTTCCTATGTTTGATATTTTTTTATGTGCACACTCTCAAGAGGCCGGAAGGTAATGAGATGCAACGAGTGCGTCTTGAATTAGCAGCAATGATGCACTTGCAAATTCCTTGAATGACCACGGATGAAGTCAAAGCCAAAGCATCAATGCACCAATAACATACCAATACATCACAAGTACATCTCAGTACCAAGCGGATAAAGAAGCTTCACACACACACATGCCAATGCCTACATAAAACGACTAGAGTGATCGTGCTAACATTCCCAAAACTGATACAGTTGTTGTTGCATCGGTTCAAACTGTCACTCCTCAGCAGGACGCTTCCTTCCCATTTGGAGTCTGGCAGGGTGAAAGGTGATAGAAGTAAGCCGGAGAAAATAGAAAACAGAACGAACACAAACGGATTTTGAACAGAAGATCAATGGATCTAAATAAACTTGGTGTGCTTGTATTTGACTGCACCAGTTGAGCCGTTGAACCTAATACTCATGTTCAAATATGTTAAGCCCCCTTCACACAAAAGCCTTGGATGGGCTTCTTATTCTATATATATATATATACCTGAGAAGGGAGGGGACGAAAGCCAGCCACCGTAAAACATATCAATATGGTTATGGGGGGTGAGTGCGACCCCACCTCTTTTCCTATCACCTCCTCCCCCGCTACGCCCATTTTGTACATGACCTCACACTCGATATGGGGTGCCCTTTTGCATCTGGTCAACCGGCCTCCTCACCACAAGAGAAGGGCACCCCCAGGCAACTCAAAGCTTGCCCGCTGCATTCTGTTCCCGCTCTGTTCTCAATGAATGGGTCACATCGTTTCTTGCAATCCCTCTTTTCCTATCACGTCCTCCTCCACTATGCCTGTCTCGTCCACATGAACTCCCACCATGGGGTGCCCTTTTGGGTCCGGCAACTAGACCTCTTCACCGTTAAAAACGGGCACCCCCAAGCAATTCAAAGCTTGCCCGCTCCATTTCGTTCTCTTTCCAGCCCTCAACGGACCACCGCATTACATGAACTCGCGCCCCATATGGGGTGCCCTAGTTGACAGGCGTCTTCACCATTAAAAAGGGCACGCCCAAGCAACTCTAACATTTCTTGCAAGCCTATGCCTGTCTTCCACCTCCCCCACAGCATCTTGGTTCCTCACAGATCACTTACCTTTCACACTATTTCACTGGCCATGAGAGGCGCGCATCTCCCTTTTCTGGAGGATGAACTCCCACCCCTGGTAGAAAACGGTTTACATTGCCTCCTGAGCACCTCGTGATGCTAATGATGCACTGGCCGTCAATTACATCACCAGCATCACAATAGCACCAAAAACTACTCATTTTCACTACCAAGTGGCAACCTTTTCTTTTTCGCTCTCCCCCACCAGGCTCTGGGTCAGCTTCTCCGAAATTGGCCGCCTTGCTTGCGACCCCCTTTAACTCTCCTCTACCTCAAGCCTAGCCTGTCGGCTGGCTTTCGTGATATGAACTCATATCCTCCTGTCCAGATGCATTTTCAGTAGAGCCATTGCTGTGGACTGCTCGATGGACTGCGCCAGAGTGGCTCAATGGACTTCTGCAGCCGGAGCTTCCGCAGTTTTTTGAAGTCATCGGGGCTGAGGACCTCTGCAACCGGGGCTTCCGCTTCGAGTGATGCAAGATTCGGAATGAATCAGAATCCAGTCTTGCCAGGGTTTACGATAATTACGATGCAAGTAAACTCACCACACAGCAAATGATGTGATGCTTAGCAGAGGGAATTGCCAAAACAGTGATAAATAACTTATGATGGTTCCAGGATGTTCCAGGGTCGGTTCGTTTGATTTGGCCCAGTTTAGGAGTTGTTGGATTCTTGTTTTGCATTCCCAAGAGAATAGAGTGCAGAGATAGCTTCCTTTTGAACACGTCCACTTGCTAGAAATCTAGAATTCAAGACAGGCTAAGCCTGTCTTGAATTCTGCATTCTGTATGTGATTATATGCTAAGAAACAAAAGAACACCATGTAACTACATTGGTCCGGACACATTGGTTCCGAGCAAGCCCCACAAGCACATCAACTTTCGTAGCTGACGTTGCAGAATCCCTCTCAACCCCCTCCGACTGTCATCTGATATCCGACAATAATATGTGTTGTCTCACACCAAGGATGATACGGCAGCTGTGTTGCCCTGAGCCCCATGCTTTCTCTGTCATCAAATCTACCCTGCCAAGAAGCACAGGTAGATGCAGAAATCACCTAAACTAGACTAAGTCGCTGCTGTGTTGAGGTTCCGGCTCGTCACCTTCTACCTGTGAACTGTGAACTGGAAGTGCGTTGCTTGATTTTTTCAGCAACGAGCCTGGCCTTGCTTTTCTTTGCTAGGAGGTCGAGGCCCTCAATCTTTTCTGAAGCCTATCGTGGTGGCGGGGCGGCTATCAAACCGATTTGATCCCATAATAACAAAGCTGCTCACAATGAGATAGCATCCCTCAGCTCAGTATAGACTGAGTCCCCACGGAATGCTGCAGGCCACAGGAGCAAATAATGTTGTTGCATCTTGGTGATTTCAAAACTACTCGCTCTGGGGTGTGAGAAGTGGTTAGGCAAGCCCCAGCAACAAATTGTTTGTTCTAGGCAGCGAATGTCCGCATCGTCTGTGGTGATGCAACAGCCAACTTGTTTGTTGCAATACGAGATCGCAATCAGTGTTCAGGCCGACAAATCAGAGCCAGAATTTGAAGTGGAGGAATATCGAAAACCTGTTGACAGTGATGAAACGAGTACAGCATAGTACAGCACACCTCTCACATTTATGAGGTGTAATTTGTGTCATTGATCCACCCACTTCGCCTGCATCTCACCAAACTGAGGGGCTTGCACCTCGCCGCGGCCTCGGTTCGCCCAAGGACGGCGAGTCAGTCGAAACGGTTTATAGTGGACGATCGCTCGGATACACCAGCTTGCTGTACACCCTGGAAGAGACCCAAATGAAAACTGAAAACCAGTGGGTTGCTGTAGAGGAAAATAGTCTTCCAAAGGTCCATGTTCAGGTTCCATGTTAATTTTCCTGAGTGTACCTGTAACTGCTCATGGAGGACTGCCCGAAGATTCCATAAGATTCCGCAAGCGAAGATTCAGAGCGAAGAAGAGACAATGTTGAAGGATCCCCATCCGTGAGCAAGGTACGCCAACTTTGGGGGGGATGTGATTTTTAAGGAAAAGGCTCAAAAACATTCAAAAACCATGGAAAAATGGCAAGCCACTGAGACACTAGCAGCAGTTCCACCGTCTCCCCATCCATGGCGGGTGGCAACCTGAGGCCCGCACTGACCGCCACCGTGGCCTCGCGACCTCGCAGCGATCGGTGCAGCAGTTGCGGGTGAAGCCTCAGAGACCAGCATCCGCCGCGAACGGAACGGAACGGTGTCCGTTCTGTTCGTGGAGGAAAAATGGCCAAGACGGAGACCTGAGATGGGAGACGAAAGCATCTGTCCATCTATCTCTTCAGCTTCTCTCTCTGTCTCGCTGTCTCCCTGACACTCTCTCCCCTTCTATCTATCCAGCCAGCCAGCCAGCCACGCCAACTTGCCTGCAAGTGTATGCAAAATGCAAATGATGCAAGTTGTCAACTTGTGCGTCATCGACATCACTAAGACCAACATCCAAACTTTTTGACACTCTGTGCCATACATTTTTGCCAAGCTATTTGGTCCGCCGTGATCGATACGGAGCCTCTGCACTACACACCCTCTTAACTTCGTTCGCTAAACACGCTAAACAACTCTCGGCTATCGGCTGGCAACTGAATTTCGAGACCAAAAATTGGCTCGCCTGTTTCTACAGGTTCGTGTCTGGTACGGAAAGCAAGTGCAGAACAAAGGATACAGATGGTTGGAGGCCACTCGCATTTGTGAGTTCTTGTCACGTTCTCCAGATTGACAAACCCTTTTTCATCTCCACGCACCTCCGATGCCTGGTGACCTGGGATTCTGGCTCTCGATACGTGTTGATCAGGCTGCGCACCTGGACGTGGGTCCATCCGAGTGAGATGGGCCTTCATCAGGCGCTCCGTGCATTCTCGGCAACAGGTGCACTGAGCTGCGAGCTGCCATCATGACGCCTTGCGGCAAAGATCAGCAAAGATAGCAAGTGTTGCAAATCTCACTGCTTGCCAGGGCGTGAAGCCTCAATAGCGATTTCAAACGGATTTGGTCTAGTTGAATGGTACATGATTTGGACTGACTAGCACTGCTCGCCTTTGCTTTTATGCTTGCGAAAGCTACAGAGGTCCGCCAACCTTAGCCCGAAAAGGTAATGCAATTCCTCTTAAGGTGCTCTTGCCGAATGCTAAGAGTGCCACTCTTCTTCAGTCAGAATGTTGATGGACCTTGGCAAATCTGGTGCATCTCTCTTCGCCCAGCACATCCCATCACTAGTTTTCATCATGTTGACTTTCACTATCATGCCCAGAGTGTGAAGAATGTCACTCGTGTGCAAAGGAGCAAAGCCCGTGCCTTGCGCACACCTCCCGAATGGTATTTAGACCTCAGGATTGCTTGTCATTTCTTGGTATGAAATGATCAGTCCAAAGGATCTCTCTACTGAGTCGCGTCTGTCCAGACTTGGAGCATTCGGGTTATTGTCCGCGGATTTGATGGTTGGCTCCTCTTCACAGACTTGGAAGTTGATTTACCTTGAATGTCCCTGAAGCATCTTGAAAACACCTTCTTCCTCACAGAAAGTTCCACTGCAGCTTATAAGCCCAATTGAGAATATTGAGACCCCTCGAAATGCGCGATCAATCGCGTACGTCAACTTCTCCGCATCACTGAGCCCAACACCTATTTCAATGACCTCCGAAGACTGCGCCTCCGTCACAAAGTATCTCACCTGAAGGAAGGAGTTGCCTAGGACCTAGGGTAGAGTTTTCGATTCCTCAGCCCCAAACGAATTCAATTGGATAGAGTCGGATAGAGGAAAAAGAACTAAAAAACAAAACAAAACTGTAGCCTGTCCTGCACAACTTGATACTACGTATGATAATAGACGAAATACGATGATTGTATTCAGTAAATAGACTAAAGTGGGGTCCGGAGACAAATACGGCATTCCCTGAAAAGCTGCATACTTTGCCACCAAAGATACAATGTGAAGGACGACTGGCCTCACTTCTTCCTGGCATCTCTCTGCTTCTGGCGATACGGAAAGAGCTGGATGGCATGTCTTTCAGTTCAGTCTTAGTTTGACCTGATCGACAGGTCTCTTGATCTCTTTCCTCCATGTTCGTCTCAAACAAGCAGGGGCGCAGGTGGTACTGCAGGGTGTGAGGCCTGGCCATGCACAGTGCCAGTCAGAGCTGCATGGCGCACGTGTGCGCCGCAGCCTCAACCAACGCGGCCATCACCTTTGTCACTTCCTTCTGTGTGGGCACCTCCCAGAAGGCAATGGACACGTGTTCAAAAATTGTGACGGCCAAGTTCAACAAAAGCGACCATATGTTTTGGGTGGACAAGGAGAGAGGCATGCATCAAGACTCAACAACTGGGCAGTTGCCATATTTGTGTGCTGTGCAAACGTAGGAATATGGATATGAACAATTAGCACCTTCCCCAGAAAGGCCCAGTTCCAGGCCGTGCGGGTTTTCCGAACGCTTCCTTTTAAGCTTCATTCAACGTGCTTTCAGAGTGAGTCACTGGCGAGGAGGTCAAGTGCTTTGAATGGCCGTGCAGTGATGTGCAGATGTTGATCTGTCCTTTGCATAAGGAACCACAACCACGCATCATCAATCAGTCTGGTTCCACCAATCAACTCAGAATGGCTTCCTTGACTATGTTCCGTGGGGTCTTTGTGCAAATTACTAGCTGAGAACTGCGCAAGGTACTTCTGCAAGAACCTTGGTGGACCAACAAAGGCTTGCCTTTCAGTACATACACCGCAGCCACTTCTCTCCTTTCTTGTCATTACACCTATAGGTTCAACCCAAGACACGGATAGAGATTCAGAACTTGCAATTGGTGGCGACCAATCAGCCTTGCAGAACATGAGACAATTGGTAAGGGACATTGACATACAGTAGCCCGAAAAGGACCTGCAGCTGGTATTTGTCTTCAAGAAAAGAAGCATTCTGACACCTTGCCTTGCCACCAAGTGAAGCATGAGCAAACGGAAGAGGAAGGGTTCGCCACCCTGTCCCATGACAGAAACACATATTGGAGACGGCCAAACAAACAAAGTCTGAAGTAAATTCCTGCTTTCTTCCAAGACACTGTAAAGTGGCTACAATATGATTTATACTGGGGACCAGTGACTTAGGACTTGTTAGGTCCAATGACATAGGTAGTTGCCAGGGTGGTGGCCAGTACAATCTTCATCGATGTGCAAAAACTGCCACCTTACTCATTCTTTGCAGCAACCTCTCGGACAAGGTCTGTGGATCATTCAGCAAGTCCTCAAGCAGCGTTGAGTAGGAATGAACACGCACACAGCCTTTTGGCAATGTGGTGCATCTGTACCACAAGAAACCTTCTTACTACAGAGTCAGCGTGCAGTCTGTGTAGAAATCTGTCCGCATTAATAGGTTGCAATGGTTGGGGAAAACAGTTGTTCAGCGGATAGAAATGCTCTCTGGGAAACGTTCAAGAACTGTCACACTGAGCCACATAAGTGGTCTCAAACCCTCTCAAACCCCAAGGCCGCCCCACTACTCAGCGGTTCTGAACTGGTGGCATTGATGCGAGGCAGCTTCACTCCGCATTGTTCTGAACCATGTTCAAGCACTCTTGAAGTGCGTTTGAAAGTCTCTAATTCCCCAGTTGTCCGTCACTCCAAACAAGCACACAGCCCGAGGAACCTCCAAATCTGTCCAATGCTGCCGAAGGTGAGCCGAGAAAACTTAAAAAACATAGTTTATATAATTATATATATATAAATCGAAGCCGAGGCACAATGGCAACAAAGCTCACAACGTTGGTATTGTTTTTGCCCTTTTTGGCCTGTTCATGGAGTTCACCCAAAATGGAACTCCTGCCCCAAAACAAGAAAATCATTGTGGCGCTGGCGGCTTTCTTTGCGGCCTTGGTTGTCGCCACAGCCGTTCCGTCTCCAAGGATTCGCCCATGCTTTCGAACTCAACTTGGGTGAGGTAAAACCTAGTAGCATCCTTGTTACTAGTAGTAATTGCCTCCAACCTAATAGCGATGGCCACCGTGCGTAGCTTCTTGCTACTGAGGTAAAAGTGCAGCTGAGCAACTTTCTTGGCTCTCTTCAGCTTCCTCACACGATTTCCAGTCTTCTTAGCACCAACGATTCCAGTCACAGCCTGGGTGCAGAAATGAGGTGAGGCAATCCTTCACTGGACTAACATGAGCTGCTTGTCGTTTGTCTTCAAGTGGGGTAAAGTCCAGTAAACCAAAGCCTCGTTGATGTTATCAGCTTCATCTTCATCGTCGCTTTCATCCAAGATTCCTTCCAAGCCCTGCACACATACTTTGCGATGATTTTGCTTCACATCACGAACGAAGAAAGCGCAACGCTGATTTAGGCAACGCTGAAGACGCTTCATGGCCTTAGTCTTGTTGCCCAGAAAGAGATGAGCCAATGCCTTAGTCTTGAGTGCTCGGTCCTTTTGGTCTCCCTCCGAAGAAGCGTCACGAAGGTCTCTGTGTGGCTGGCTGCTGCAACTTTGAGATCTGGATGAAGCAAGCCGGAACCTCCAAGACAAGCTCAAGCTTTCAACTGAGCCCAAGAAAAGGAATGGGAGGATCAGGGGGGTAGTGCAATCGGGATCTTAGCCAGGTGCTCATAAGATTCACCACATGGGCATCTGACCAAACCTCAGCTGAATTGTCTGAGAGACAAATTGTTCAACAAACTGAGAAAATGATGGAAAATGAGAAGACAAGAGTCTGCGAATTCCACCTTCCTTTCATCACAGTTTCTCTCATTTCTGTGATGACAACTCAGAACCGCAGTGTTTAGAGATGTTGAGAGTTGGTCCCTGCTTCCCTTCTGTCAACAGAGTCAGTCCAGGTACCGAGAAGACTGAGGGCAGCAACATTTTGCCGGTACCTCGTCAAGAAAACCCAGAGCTTGTGCGTTCGCGGCATTCGCGGCGTCATCTGCTGCGTTCTTGCGTTCTTGTTTGCTACTTCGTCTCTTTGGTCATGTCTCAAAGTCTGACAGCACACACGGACAACGGACGGTCGCTGCCAGGCCACATGGTGATGAACACAGCGCAAGCATGTCGGCAAATCTGGGACAGCAAGGTCCCAACATCGAAGCAACAACTGAGAAAACCTATGAGAACCTGAAACATTCTGAAACATCCTGAAACAGCCTGCTCAGTGCTATAGATGTAGATACTAGATGTATCAGTGCTTGCTTCTCTGTCATTCAACTGCTTCATCCTGAACCCGCCTCGCCTCAGTGCCTGTCTCCTTCATTTGGGCAAAGAAGAAGTCTCGAAGCTCATAGTTGACCTCACAGAGGTCACGGTGGAGTTTGTCTTTGTCGTTCGTCTCTGAAGAATGGAGTGAGTGACGTCTCACGATGGATGGAGGGAGTAACGAGTGATTCAGTTGTCTCAAAAGCTCAGGAGCCCGGGCTTTCTGGTTCCTCTTTTTCTGGTTCATGTGTGCAATATCTCGCACGATGTGGTTGAAGATGGACTTTCTCAATGCTTTGTCCTTCAGGTCAAAGGAGTAGTTGACCGTGCGTTTGCAAGGAGCAAAAATCCGTGTCCAGCCTGAGAACGAAAGAGCTTGAAGTAGACCGGCAAAGTCTTGGAACATGGAAACCTCATCAGGCATGACATAGCGGCATGGCGCCGGGGAGAAAGCATACATCAAACATGCCATCCTTCATACCAGGTATATCCAGGCATCTTGCTGATCTCTGTTGCGCAGCAGGATCAATGCCTTTGGAGCCAATCAGAACGGATAGATTCCTATCATGTCCTATCCTATCGCGTTATCGCGTTTGCGTTCACCACTCCTGCACCAAGGTGGTTCGCATTGAGCTATGCATGACCTCGAAGTGGTCGCTGAGCGCCCCTGGGAGACCATCGATGGACACTGGAACTCCCAACCGTTACTTCGACCCGTAGAAAGGAAAATCGAAGTTCCCTTCGGCTCATAGGTGACGATTCGACTCTGAGGTGTGGCGCCTATGAGCAAATCAGGCAGTGCCTGAGCAAAGCAGAATCGATCTGTCATCCATGTGCCACTCCGCTACAAACTGTGTCAGAAGCTAAGAAGGATGCTTTGGCCTTGTCAGGGAAGCTCGGCGCCACGTGTGCCAAGAACATCACCTGGCATCAGGTTCCACCATCTCAGCTCGGTTGATAGCCTGTACGTTGCACAAATTGGTGCTGCATACCGCAGTGCATACCGTGGGTCTTAAGATGTCTTAAGCATCCTTAAGCATCCATAGGCGTTGGCTAAATTGGGGCGAAGCCCGCAGGGTGTGACATCGTGCGACTACACAGACCTGGCTCCGTGTATGCTGGGTGGATACGGCTCCGGCTACATCCAGCTGAAAAGGGAGTCCCACAACTCTGAGGAATGGAAGAGTGTTTCCCTGAAGATCCTGAAGAGCCTGGGGCTTGTACCAAATCTATATCATTCTCCAGTCGAAAATTCTCAGAGATTCAACATGGAATGTGATTGAGCAAAATCAGGGCAAGGGAGTCTGCCGGGCATGCCATGCCACCTGTTCACTGAACGAACTGGATGGCTTCTGAGGTTTCAATTTGAACATCTCCATCTGGCTGTCGAAGTGAGACCTGGGCGAAGGCGGCCAGAAACGCCGGAAGCATCTACCTCGCGGGACGAGCCTCAGCCTTCGACGCCCCAAACGACGCAGAACAAGTCGTTTCTCGGACGATTTCTTGGCTTGCTACCATTGCTGATCAAACTCCGGACCATAGGCCTCGTGCACAAGAGTTTCTGACAATACTAGTGGCTTCTTGCTACTAGTAATGCCCTTGTTACTAGTAGCGATGCCCTTGTTACCAGTAGCTTCTAGCTACTAGTAGCGATACACGTTGTTCCTAATTAGTAGCTTCTTGTTCCTAGTAGTAAGGCCAGGAGCCGTTCGTAGCGTCCGATCGCTCCGTTCGTAGCGATGCACTTGTTAGTGGACGCTGACTCCAAAGCACCGGACACCGAGGAACGAGTTCGGAGCAGCCGAGGAACTCCAACCACGCGACCAGTTTGTTCGTTCAAAAATCCCCATTTGCTTCATGCTTCCACAAATGGACCATTGGGTTGGGCGGAACCCGCGCTCAACAGATCGTTCTGTGTCCGCAAGATTGTTTTGTTACGTTTTGTTAAAGAGCACTGGAGGGTTCTAGTAAATGTGAGTGTGTGTTATGTCAGGCATGGAAGGGTCATGGAGGTAAGTTCTCATTGAGGAGATCATGCTATCACCAAGTATCATTGTTGCAACAAGTAGCAAGTAGTCTAAACATGAAAAGGTACATCACGGTACTTCCCAAAGTTGCAGTCTCTCATCTTTGACATGACTGGTATATAGCAAACTTCGCAATGAACCCCTGGTCTACGCACATCTTGACACACCACCGTGTCCAGGTTATCCAAGTAGCTTCTGGATCTCGCTTCATGAAGTTTTGGAGCTGCGACAGCGACATGATGCGTTCCTTCTCCTTGGAGGCGAGGCGAAATGTGGAGTCGATTTGCGAACGTTGACGTTGCCAGTTTTGAGGTCGAAAACGATAGATCCCTCACCATGTAATTAGGTCAGAGGACTACTGTATAGAGAACTACTACGTTGCACTATGTTCATATTGGGGGTAGTCACCGATATCGGATTTGCAGTCACAGTCGTTACGAAACGTACATTAATTCTGTCTCCAAGAAGTTTAAAGAAATTGAAAGAGCAGCAAACAGAGGCTACTGGAGTCGCAGTCCTTCTCTTCATCTGGAGCCATCGCACTGACTGCTTGCTTGGCGCCTAGGTTGAGGTGACTTGCTAGAAACTCGAAAACTAAACACAAACCAGCAGCGGTTTAGTTGTGTGGCCTTTTGGATCGCGCTAAGACTTGTCAAGCCCATCTCATGATTCCAACGATATCTCGGCATGGTCACACCCAAACAGCCAAACCAGGCCAACCATGATGCTTCACTTCACCGACCCTGAGAAGTCTGAGCAACCGGCAAGGCTCAGCGTCTTATAGGCTCACAGAATAAATTGCAAAAGACTGTTTGACTCAATTGACACTTCTTGATGCGCTTCAAAACGTGTCAAATCTTTCTATAGACACTTGTCTTCGGTGTCTACAAACAAAGCTCCTGGTATGCTCTCTTGACGGTTTGAGTTCAACAAGGGAGCGTCAGGCTGGAGATTCATTTGATCAGGTCCAGCATCGAATATGTTTGTTATTTGCTCCATGTTGGACTATTACCGTTGCCTCCTAATCCTCCTACCGTATCCTACAGTCTGATTGGCTTGATCCATTGTGCACAATCCCGTGCATGGTCCTATGCCTTCAAATCGAATGCACCGCACTGTCCATGAGAATGCGTCTGTGTTTGCCCCATGCCCAGACTGCGGCTCTTTCACTGGCAGGAGAATGCATTGGACTCCACTGTAGAGTTCCAAGCCGGGACTCGGCAATCGTTGAGGCTCCACATAGCAATGGAACGCACAGTCTTGATCCGATGCAGACGTTGCGTCTTCATGCTCCCGGGCACTGCGGGCCCAAACGGCCGCCAGGACCTTCACCATCTTTTCAATAGCATTGGCTCCCATGGACTCAATCACAATGGGCTCCTGAGCTCACTCCATGTGTCACGTATCGTACACAAAGCCATGGAAGAAGACGCCAAAAAAGGCCAGAAACAAGTCAGAAGTCACAACGAATCATGGCCACTACTGGGGTCGGGGTTGGTCATACTCTGTCTTCTTTCACTACTGCCTGGCTTGCCTGAATGAATCTTCTGCCCTTTTTGATCTCAGTGCTGTCTAAGTGTCTTCCATTCCGAGAGCAGAAAGCCTGAAACGAGAATGCAAGAACCCACTAAGCCGCCGGAGGTCCGTGTCGGCTCTGACTCGAACCTCAGAACTCTTGCGTGTCCGTGCGGAAAAATGCTGCCAACCATCAGGTGCAGCACCTTTTGAGCGATCTTGATTAGGCAGGTTATATCTAACGCATATCATATGTTTGTTGAACACTAAGCCTCAAGCAACATCAATCATCCCAGCATCTAGTCGTTCCTTTGCTGCTGCCACGGCTTCCAAAGGAACTCGCCGCAGTTGTAGGCGCATGCAGCGACGTAAATGCGCAGCCATCTGGATTTTCAGAGGCTTGTCATTCAGGAATCAGATGGAACAAGAGCAGAAGCACTGTCACAAATCCCCACTTTGGCAATATGCTAGGGCGACTTCGGTTCGGCTGCTTTTCCGGTAGACAACAAGACACGTCTCAACTATATATACTTAAGTACTAAATAAGTAAAGACACAGCAAGACCCCTACAGTAGTGACTGCTTTCGTTGTCCAAATCTTTGGGTCCAAACAATTCTAAGTATAGCTTTTAGCTACTAGTAGTAATGCCCTTGTTACTAGTAGTAAGTAGTAATGTCTTGTTACTAGTAGCGATGCCCTTGTTACTAGTAGCGATGCCCTCGTTGCTAGTAGCCTCTAGCTGCTAGTAAGGTTTGTCCAAACATGGCACCTGACTGTCCCAGTAGACAAAGATATGGACCAAGGGCACGAAGGCTAGCCGCCATGCAACTTCCAGACGCCTGTGCTGGGCGACCGATCCGAAGAGATGAATCCCCTGTGCTGAGCTGCCAGTCCACTAACATACACCAATATTAAGTGATCATATATATGATCATATACGGTACTAATATCAGCAAGAAGATGTTGTTGGTGTCCTTTTCGAACAAGGTTCTTGATAGCAAGGAAGAGCTGATAGCGAGGCTGACAGAAAAAGTGGGCGACTACAAACCAAAGCGTTTTCATTGGCGTTCGCACTGCATGCACCAGGTCCTTGTATGTTGTATTTATGAACAGGTAACCCTCGGGAGGCCCTAACGTTGAATCCATCTCTTGGCTTTGTCCCTCTGAAATTATTTTTGTAAGTGAAGCATGTTCCTGTTTTGTGATGCCAGCAAATGCAGTGTGGAAACATGCTTGTCTAACATGCAAGTCCCTCCCTCCTCCCAAGCGCAGGTTTTTCCTAGCGATGCTGCTGGATCAGCAGTTGGGTTACTCATCGAAAGTTACCCATATTCAGTTCATACGGGTACTCACGATTGGTACAAGGTACCCAACTAACCTGGGGAACTGTTAAGTTCAGGGTGGGTGGGAAGAATCGTGGAAGGGTGCAGGTCCTTGAGCCAAAATGTCAAGGACCAGAACACCTGACCCACCCTGCCACCCAATGCGACTGCATGTTCCATACACAACACGTTGTTCCTTCTAACATGCTTGTCTAACATGCAAGTCTCTCCCTCCTCCCAAGCGCAGGTTTTTCCTAGCGATGCTGCTGGATCAGCAGTTGGGTTACTCATCGAAAGTTACCCATATTCAGTTCATACGGGTACTCACGATTGGTACAAGGTACCCAACTAACCTGCACTTAATCGTCCGAGTCTGATGATGAACTGACTCGAGGAGGGATCAACCTTTAATCGGGTGGCAAATTTCAATCATGATTAGCAAGAGCACACCAGCCTTTCAGGCGGTTGAATCCTCTCACTATAGTTAGTCGATGCAAAGGGGGGAGTATCCGCAACAGTTCCTTACGAATCGGAGGGCCACGGAGCTCCCCACGGTCAGCCGTCCGACCCCAACTATGAATTAACATTCACCCAGACCAGAAGACGACTGGGTGTCACGAACAATAAAGTTGCACCTTAACTGGTGACGGTGTTGAAGGCAATCCCGGACAACTCTCGAATTAATGTCTTCAAAAGTTCCAGTTCTTTGCCTGCCGGTTCACTCACCGAAGAAGACCTTGTAGCCAGCCCTCAAGTCAAGTTTCCAGCTCTGACCGTCAGCTCTGGTTGTCAGTGACCCTGACTTCGCGAAATGGTCTGCAAGGCTCCGCAACACGCATGGGAGCGTGTCTGTGCCTAATATCAGTGAGACGTGATCCAAGCACGTATCCGGCAGCAAGCCAGGTTGCTGTAATATGCTGCGCCAGCACTCATAAACAGTCCTCAGTGTTGCTACAACACACGCTAGTACCTGTATAGCAGTTCTTAGTGTTGTCACATCACCAGCCATCTTTCGAGCCTGTGAGGTTGAGTGATGCTGCGCAGTCGAGATCCTCAGATCTGTCACTTCCACGGCCGATGTCAGTGGAAATTCAAGGTCTGTGAGATCGAGGTCTTCAGACCTGCCACTTCCACGGTCGATGTCAGTGAAGACACCCCTGGTGAAGAGGCTAGGTGGCCGTGAGCGGCAACTCCATGGACGGATGTCAGGGCAGTTCATACAGTTGGCGACGTACGATGTATCCGATCTCACCCTCATTGCTCCCCCGAGTTCACAGCACTGGGCGCCCGCAAAGACCAAGAGGGTACGGTGCCAACTCCATCCCCATGATTCACTCATGGGGGGTAAGTCCCCTCCCCCCCAGGATCAAAAGCCTCCCAGCGCAGACAGTTTTAAAATTTTATGTCCTGTTTGGAGATCATGCCATCTTTATAGAGCACCAGAGGGGTAGAGCAAGCTGCCCCTCTGCACTCTTCCCGCGGTGCGACGGGGGCTTGACCCTGGTAAAGCAGCGGATATTAAACGCGAGGAAATGTGAGGCCCTCCCCACAGGTGTGGGTGCCGAAGGACGACAAAAGGGGGGGGGCGAACGAGCACGCGCGAACAAGCGGCCGAACGACGGACCCGAGGTCAGGTTCCATCCCCCCCCCACTCAAGCGACCCGCAGACTTTTGCCATCGCTCAGGTTCGCAGCCAGTTTTCGGCTTGGAATTAAACATTAGAAGTCTTTCACCCTGCACTGTGTCCGGGTGTCTGTGCAAGCTGGTGTATCTCTCCCTCCTCATGCTGCAGTTGGCTTGCCGGAGAGACGACAAGTCGGTGTGGGAGCGTCTTCCACCATCCCAGCCGACGTGGCTTGGGCAACACTGCTTTCGCACCCGAAAGTTGGATCAGCAGTTTGAACTGTTTGTTAGGATCGTTGATCCTCGACAGCGCATCACACGCCGTGTTGGTCAAGCCTGGTATGTGCGTGACCAGCCGTGGCCTGCATGTCGCCTGACCCAGATCCAAAGAAAATTCTCTTGCGATCAGGTTCAAAGCCGGAGATCCCGCTTTGAGGTTGGCAAACAGCGACAATGCACAACATTGTCGTTTCAGATCCGGAGAAACACCGGTGTGTGCTGCCAGGGAACTGCCCATTGCCTCAACGCAATGAGTCCCGTTAGCGCTTCCCACACCTGTTGTCCTTGACAATCACCCGCTTGCACACCTAGGATATCTTGCTCCGCTGACGAGAAGCGGACAGCAAAGAACTCTCTAAATTGTCCCTGGATTTGTAAAGTGGCGTCCATGCCAAATGCACTTGCGTCCCAAGTGATGACCACCACCGGTCCCAGCTTTCGAAGGCACCTTGCGTGCAACGCTGTGCACAGTCGTTGGACGAACGGCCTCCAAACGACGATGACCGATGCGATAGAATGCATTTGCCAATGATTGTGCGCAAGCACGTGACAGATACGAGGTTGTGCGTCAATGCCTCGGTCAGAAGCTGCGAGATTTCTCCCGCTTTAGCTTCAGTGACTTCAGCTACAATTGCCCCATTCAGTATCTCCAGCTGCACACCTATCCAGGTCAACTTGTGTGCCAGTGTAGCCTTGTGGAATGCCAAAGGAAAACCCATGATTTGCCATGCTGCTGCGAAGACCACCGCCCGTCTCCTGATCCTACGCTGTGTGCCCTTTGTGATCACCAAATGGTCAT